TAATCATTAAAAAAATTAATTAGCATGTGCACCACACGTGCACTTTATTAGTCAATTTAAAATGTTTTATTTTTGTTTTAAAAAACCAGACGGCAGACAGTGATTCTTATATTTAGTTTGAGTTGTTAGTTCTATTTTGGGTCCTCTAGTTAAATATACACGAATTTATCGAAGGCCCTTGGAGTATAGACCCTCCTGTTATATAATGCAAGAAGTATGAATGGATGAGAAGAATATTGCAGGGACAGGGTTATCATGAAAAAAGTTCATCTATCCTTAGTTTTTTACCTCATAAATGCAAAAGGGTCAAAAAGTTAAAGACTAATTTGGATTCTGAAGATCATTTGCTTTTTCATTCGGTCCCATTAACCACAAACACACTCAATGAAAATATACAGCAGAATGTCAACATATGTTCTGTTTCTGTTCCCCACAAAACAAAAAATTGCAGACAGTGATTAATTGTGGTAAGATTTTTGGATAATTGCAAACAGGAGACACATGTTCAGTGTGAGTTTAGGTGCACCTTAGTAAGGTTACATTCCAAAACTAATTGATGATGTGAAGAGTAGTCCACTAGAATTATAAGCTAGACTCATTTCTCCTATAAAAACAATGTGGTACAGCTCACAAGTGATATTCTAATAATAAGAAAAACAAAAACGTTATATGGTACAACTCTTGAAGCAAATCGAAATTGCCAGAGCATAGTTGGAGAAATTGTAGAAAAAGCTAGTTAAGATCAAACATAGGGGGGGTTTTATTTTGGTAGTTAATTTCTTAACCTCTCCAGATTATTAATTACATCCCTGAACCCAAGTAATTTATTTCAATATTTTGTGAATATTAATCATTTTTATTATATTGAAAAGGAAAACTCAAGATCATTTATTTTCAAATATTACCCCATGAAACAAACATTAATGTTCATTTCATTTCAAAACAAAAAGATGGACACATGGAGGTGAAGACAAAGTGTACATATAATCCATAGACTAAGNAAAAAAAAACTTCCCATGACAGGAACATTAACACTACAAGACTGAAAACATTATACATTAATTATTTCAAGCACACATACTTATACACATACATATGGCTAGAAATTAAACCGAAAGTCGGTGATTTTGGTCTTGATCCACTTGAAACTTCCCCTCACAGATGCTTTCACTTTACTTTCATTGAAACTGTTGTACGAGGCAATCCGTTTCTTCCTCTTCAATTCCGGGTCATCCAACGATTTTGAGTTTGGCCCGTTAAATGCATACGGGTCGGGTTCATCTTTGAAATCGAACCGTGATGAGTAGTGAGAAAATGACCTGCTTTTCTCTATCTGCATTTTTTCTCTTACTTAGAAGATCTTGGTTTAAGTTGGAAGTGAATATATCATATGATGATATGAATGAATAGAGTTGAGTTGAGTTATTGCTTTTTTGGACATCATTTATATGCTTGATAAAGGGCGCCGGAAAAAAGCCTAATTTTGCGTTGCATGCTCATGAAAAAAGATGTTTTTGTTGGTCAAAAAATGCCTTTTCTTTTTTAANAGTTTGTCTTTTCATATTTTTTTTTGTTTAGTCGTTATTACTCAATAATAATAAATAATAACACACTAGTACAATACCTGTGTATTACACGGGTGATGAATTAGAAAGCTTTTATAAAAAATATTAAATTTTTTATTTTTTAAAAACTAAAATAATTTAATTTTATATAAAACATTACTCTGGGTTTTAATTTAATTGTCAAATTATATTTTTTAATCATAATAATTAAACACCCGTACATTAAATGAAAATGTCAACCCGTGCTGAATTTTTTTTTTTACTTATATGATATAAAAATATCGATATTATTTACTATTACATAAGTACATTATATATTTTAAATAAATAGAAATAATATGGAGATATGCATATGCATTAGTATAAAATATGTTTATTTAATATTAAGTAAAATAGATTAATTTTTTTACTTAATCAGATGTCTAATAGATCAAGTGTCGTATCAGTTGTGCTACACAATATTTTAACTTTATATGTAATTTTAGAATTTATATAAATAATTATTTATTTTTATTACATTGACAACATACCAATTAGATTTGAAATAAATATCATTTTTAAAAGAATACATACCAATTTCTATTACTTTATATTATTTTATATAATTTAATTTAGTTTGATAAATACATTTAAATACTGTTTTGTATTTTATATATACATATATAAATAAATAGTAAAATACAAACGGACTTCATAATATCAATTCAAATGCAACATACTAATTAGGATTTTTTTTCTTGACAATATAACCCTATTTAATAGATGTTATGGGAAACGATGAAGATGGGATATGAAAAGACACTGTGTATTAAAATGAGGGTTAAAAATAGAAAAATATGAACAAAATATCTAAAACGACATTAATTTTATCAATGATCAATTAAGCCAAATTGACAAATAATAAAAATAAGAGGGAGTATAGACACATGTTACTTGTACGACTTATATGTGCTATATTATAATAAATTTTCTACCTTATAACATATAACTACATTAAACTTAAATATATTAATTGATAAATAATTTTATTTTCTAATTAATTTTAATAAATAATTTTATTATTATTATAAAAATAAATATAAGTTATTTATTTTATATATACAATATGGATGTCAAATCGAAACTCATCAAAAGATGATTAATTTGATATATTATATATGTAAAACCGATAAGAAATACAAAGGTTATCAACTTTTAAAATATATTTGCAATTCATTGGTTATAATAGGAAATGATATTAAAATACAATTAATACAAATATTAATTTATATCCAAGCCTAACTCCAAAGCATGATTTTTTGCCAAATTGGATTCCGAACCATGGGAGTTTGCCATGCAGGCTCAGCGCATTCTGAAATTATATATATATATAACTACATTAAACTTAAATATATTAATTGATATATAATTTTATTTTCTAATTAATTTTAATAAATAATTTTATTGTTATTATAAAAATAAATATAATTTATTTATTTTATATATACAATATGGAAGTCAAATCAAAACTCATCAAAAGATGATTAATTTGATATGTTATATATGTAAAACCGATAAGAAATACAAAGGTTATCAACTTTTAAAATATATTTGCAATTCATTGGTTATAATAGGAAATGGTATTAAAATACAATTAATACAAATATTAATTTATATCCAAGCCTAACTCCAAAGCATGATTTTTTGCCAAATAGGATTCCGAAGCATGGGAGTTTGCCATGCAGGCTCAGCGCATTCTGAAATTATATATAGAGGGGATTGTGGAATAATTGGTAGATGCACGGATCGACCTATATGGGGTCAATTTTGGTATTTTTATCTTTTATATACTTTATCCTTATCCTGATTTTAATTAAATCGTAGATTCGAAAGACGCGTTTCTTACAAACTATCATGCTTATAAACCACCGGTTCAAGAGGCTCAGTCCCTATGAACCAGAATCGGCCTGACTAATTGACGGTTTCAATTTCAGAACTATATTCAATGCGCATAAATTTCAAATAATTAGATAAAATGCAGGAAAAATAATGAACGGAATATGGACGATACCTTCTTCAAAAAGGATCTCTAAATACTATGCGACATAAAATCATTGATATGGTGACACAAACTTTCTAAGTTTGGTATCAATCACCTTCATAAGTATTTTTATATATTATGGCTTAAACCACAAATCTTTAAATTTCTTTTGATATATATTTCATCCCTCCAAAATCGTCCCTACCAACTATTGTACTATTGAGTTCTATCAAGGGCGTGATGTCATTAGTAAAGTGACAATCTATGGAGTTAATAATAAATTGCTTAAATTTATACCGAGAGGCCAATGTTACATATTTATTTTAATACACTGTTTTGAAAATAGGGGAAAAGTAGTCCGTATGTGTTAAACCGTGAATTGATTTAGGTTGGTGCCATGTGATGTGATTCTGTATCTTAATAGTGCTAAAATATATATAGTACATATATATTTGCATAATAAATTAGACATTCCACATTTACTTTCGGCACTCGCGCAGGAAATCATGGAGCCTGTTGTTCCAACAAGTGATTATTGGTCGTAGATTCGTAGGTACAATTGTCGGATCTTTAACCTATCAGTGGGTCCTGTTGTACTCGAACAAATTCGGCCCAATCTTGGCACTCGATTGGGCTACAACTGGCCTACTATTTAAAAAGAATGACGATAATGCATTGATGCATGAAAAACGTGTTCTAAGGGAAGGAAATTAAATTTTGTACTGATATTACGATTTACTATTTGTCACTGTTCTAAAAATCGGCCTAGGCGGCGCCTAGGCGCTAGGCGGTGCCCGGGCGCCTTCGATTTGTACAAATCGGCAGAAAAAATCGGTCAGACGGCTAGGCGGGCCTAGGCGGCCTTGGCGGGCTCGGCGGCCAGGCAGTTAGGCGGCGTCTAGGCGGGCGTAGGCGGACTTAGGCGCTCCTAGGCGGGTTCGGCGACAATTTTTTAATTTTTTTTTAATTTTTTTTATTTTTTTAAATACTAATTACATTATATTGTCTTCATGTTTTCTTTAATATATATTAATATTATTATTTGGACTTTGGTGTGTGAATTTATTATATGTTGAGATAGTCTTATTTTGTAGGTAGTTAAAATAAATAAAAAATAAAGTATTTACTATTGATTTCTGGGTCCCGACTAGGCGCCGCCTAGGCCCCGACTAGGCGCTAGGCACTGGTCGAGCGCCTAGCGACTTTTAGAACACTGCTATTTGTAAGTGGAAGACTTACAAAATTAATAAATCATTTTAGATTGAATAAAAAATTACCTATATAGTTGAAATGTGCGAAAACTTGAGTTTATGTAACTCAAAATTGAGTTTAAGTAACTCCAAAATTGTAGGATTCGCAAACATTTTGTCTTTAACTAATCTATGGACAAGCTAAACGATCCATAATCATGATGTATGCATTCTATAACTCTAGAAGCGCTCGTTGGGGACGAGTATGAAAAAGGGAATATGATTTCGTGTTCGGACGAGAACGTACGAGTTTCCGTCGTGCAGGAGCACGCTAGGCTTTGTTGTGAACGGGAAGACCATCGCAGGCGCGGCGTATGGTTCAGCCCTCCAATTGGGCACGACAAGCACGCGACCTGGATGCATCTGCTCATGCCGACAAGGCTCCTACTCAATTTTGGACAATCGGGCACAATCCATTCATCAAACAAACTATGAAGACAAAAATTTTAGAAAAAAAATAAATAAATAAAAGCATGATCCCAATCGATTCCTCAAACGCTTGAAGATTTCACAGAGACGGACCAAATTGTTTGTCGAAAAAAGGCGAGTTCGGGGTTCGCCGAAAAAAGACAAGCTCGGAGTTCATTGAAGATGGTCGTTTGTCTTTCGCCGGATTTCTTCACGACCATATTTCACCGGATCTCTTCATGCCCGTCATGTCGGATCGTCGCCGCAACACATGTGAAAAAGGGGGGAATTCGACGGGGGAAAGGAAAAGGAGAGTTTATATGTGGATAAAGAAAGAATAATAAAAAAATGGAAAAATGTTTGTAATGGAGGGTGAGAGTTTACATATAAAAAAATGGAAAAACATTTTAAAAACACTGCAAATACGGAATGTAGAGGCAAAATTTTTGCTTATGGGCTGAACAAGAAAAATATTAGTGCTTGTTTGGATACAAGAAATCTAGACAAAATATAAATACTTTTAAATCAACCATAATTTTTTAACTCAACTTAACTATCCTCAATAGTATCAATATAATTAAATAATATCAATCAATCATTCTTACGTATCACATAAACTTTAATTCACTATTCGTCCACTCGCATAATTTTAACTAACCATTATCTTTTTTTTACTTTTACATAAAATAAACTTTTTTTTTTAAAATATTATTTAATATAAACTCAAAATATCACAAACAACTAATCATAACACTTTTTTGAAAATTAATTCCGATTAACCAAAAAATTCTAACAAAACAATCTTATATCCAAGCATTGGTGTGTGTGCCTGACGTTGCTTGTTTACAGAGATCGAATCCTACAATTCCCTACACTTATTTATTATTTTATCTTTGAATACAAAATGAATGGGATAAGTAATTTTATAATTTTATAATTCTAAAATATAAAAACTGAATAAAAATCTTATCAATAGCGCGTGCATGACATGTTCGTTAGTTTTGACGGAATTGGAGAAATCGCTGAGAAACCTAAACTACAAGAGGGTTTCATGCTTTTTTTTTTAAAAAAAAAGAATACATGAGATAATGCACAAATTTCACTAAATAGAGATAATATAGTCTACAGAGCCAACCCTGTCCAAGAGTGACTTAGGGTACAACCCAAGGCCCAATTAAAATAAGGGTACCAAATCCACTAGTATTTTCTTAATTTTTGTTTCTCTCCAAGTATGTGAACAGTGTGGAGAGAGAAAAATAATAATATTTATTATTGCCTCTTTCTTGACCATTTTTCCAGGTATATGAACAAAGAAAAAATTCAAAATTAGTACCATAGATATAGGGGAGTGATAATTTTAGTCCCGACAGAATGCACAAAATATGAATAGTCCCACAGCTTTTAAAAAATGATCAAAAGTAGGACTTTTTCGCCGGATTTATTATTTCCGGCCCGGAACGCCACGTGGCGCACACGTGGAGCACACGTGGCGCACATGTGCCTTATTTTTTACACGCTGGCATCCGACGTAGATAGGGAAAAATTCAAAACTAGTCCCACAAGTATAGAGGAGTGACATTTTTTGTCCCGATGGAATGCAAAAAATTCAAAACTAGTCCCACAATTTGTAATAAAATATGAACACGTCGGATGCCACGTGGCATTCCGGGCCGAAAATAGTAAATCCGGCGAAAAAGTCCTACTTTTGATCATTTTTTAAAAATTGTGGGACTATTCATATTTTCTGCATTCCGTTGGGACCAAAATTGTCACCCCCCTATACCTGTGGGACTAGTTTTGAAATTTTCCCATGTAAACAATGTGGAGAGATGAAGGCCTTCATGCTATGTTGTGTTATCTTGGCTCTGAGTGCTATTGTGCTTTCTTGGTAATACTAATGTTGAGATAGTTACTTGGTTCTCCTAAGATCACTTTCTACCTCAGCTGTGGTATCTCTCTGTTGGATAGCTCTAGTGGTGTTGGCTGCTGGTTCTTCTGCATGCTATGGATTTTTATTGCTTTTGTTCTCTTTGTTTTCTTTTGTTGGGACCTTGGGTATTTTTAGGCTAGTCTGTTGATGGTTGTTGCTCTTGCTTNTTAGTTGCTCCAGCTAGGCCAATTAAGACAGTGGTTGTGGCTTTCTTTCTTTTAGTCCGTCGCTTCGGCAACAAGGCATAAAGAAACTACTCTCAGGATTTCTTTGCTAGTCAATCCCCGAGAGTAGGTCTTTATGCTTTCTCTATAGTAGGTTCTAGTGCGCATTGGCGTGCCACTCCGTTTTCCATTTGGATATTGTATGGGTTTCTTAACCCGGATTGTATATCTTTATTTGAGCTATAAAATCTATCGTTTCGAAAAAAATAAAAAAAAAAGTAATATTCATTTTTTCCTCTTTATTGACTTTCTTAATTAAGATGTCCTTATAACATGTAATCTTTATCACTTTATCATACACATTAGTACACATTTTCTCTCAGACTGTCACACATTACTATAATTACACTATTTATTTACTTTCTCTTAGATTGATAACTTCAGTTTACCTCTTATTGTTCACTTTATTATATATTATTACACTGTCTTTTTCTTTTTTGTCAAACAATAATTATATTAAAAACTTAAAACTCAAAAGAGTATAGTCGAGGTGTCAACTGACATTACTGGAGCCAGAACAAAATCTGAACCAACCCCTCTTGCAATCACACATGTGACCAAGGGGTACAAACTTTATAAAGGAGACACAAACACCCGCAAAATATAAACTTCATATGTATTATACTAGACACAAAGTCTAGTTACTATTTATTTTATATATTTTCTTAAAAACTATTTTATTTATTGATTGCTCATTATTTTTAATTTATGGTTACATTTAGATCACTACTTAGAATTAAGGTTTTATATAAAATTTGATTAAGAAAATATTAAGCTATATGTAATATTTATTTAGCTTTTATTTCGAAAGGTGAAAGATATCATTATCTTGATTAGAAAAAAAATTAAGATCTTACTTGATTTTTGGTGGTGTTAGTTTTTTCATGAGTTGTACCTTGCCTTTGATATATTATTAAAGTTATATATTTTTTAGAAAACAATTGGAACGTCAATATTATATAAATTTTTTATTTTTGAAAAAAAAAATATTTAGGGCACTTCTGTTTGGCTCAGGGCCTTATAATGTGTAGGAACGACTCTGATAGCTAGTCTATATTTTACCCAATTTCAATCTCACTCCTTTTCCCAATAAATTATCCCATATACAATGGACAAAATAATTGTTTATCACGCGCTACATAATATCACGTGATCTGACATCACAAGAACCAAACGTTTGGTACGGTGATTAGTCGAGAAACGTGCTTATATTAATGGTCTAATGTTGTAATTGTGCACGTTTAATTCTTCGCATTTATGCATTCTTCGACTTATTTGATATTATGATCAACTCTCGTGCTTTGATGAGTTTTTGAGTGATTTTCAGTACTTTTGGAGCTATTTCTGTTGCACGATGAGGTGTGGATGCTCGGAGGAAGGACAAAGAAGTTTTACCAGCGAGTTTGGGGGTGTCCCGTACTGAACCAGCAGGCTCCGTACTCCTGTAGCAGGCCCAAGCAATTCACGATTAAAAGGCCTAGAGAAATTAATATAATTGGGACTACATATTTTGTGTTGGAAGAGATGGGCCACGTGTGATGGTGAAAGGATGAAGAAAAAGGCCCACTCATTATATTACTTGACTTTACTTGGAAATAGAAGGAGAGAGACATAAAATAATTAAAAGAAAGGAAAGGATATATATATAAAGGAAGAGACTAGCGTGAAAGGGAAGAATTCATTCTTTGGACCTGGGACATTGCGGCTGAGGCTTGGGAAACAGAGAAAAAGAGAGAAACTGATCGCAAGCAGTAACCGTGCAGTGAACGAACAGAGAAGAATTTTATTCTCTTTTCTTTTCTTCTTTCTTGTGTAATTAAATTCTTGATTATGTTATTGAACACTATGAGTGAGTAGTCCTTTTATTCTAGTTCTGGGGAAGTCGAACCCTACGATTGACTATGTTTTGATTAATTTATATGGTTGATGATTTCAATATTTTATTGGAATTGCTTGTGTTATTTTGAATAATTCACCATGATGTGTTTAGTCTTGTTTAGATTGATCACCTAGATTAGGCTTTTCATATCTACATCTGAATTAGACCTGCAATCCGTAATTGTTGTTGTGTTTAATTCATAAGAGGTATCCGGAAGATGGTAACTACCGGGGATAACACGGCCTAATTAAGTGAACGAACGCAGTTGAGTTCACTAATTAGTCTAGCCTATTTTTCTAAATCGTAAAGCAACTAATTGTATTAAATCTTGAAAACGTTTTTCCGAACTGTACAAGAAGTCAGGTTTAATCGTCGAGCGTCTCGCGGTTAAATTAAAAATAAGGAAAAATTCGGGTAACAGACCGTGTCGTTACCTAGGGCTAGTAATTTCAGGAGATAGCGAAATCTGATACTAAAATTAATTAGACGAGTCAATCGAAGGTGTAGACGGAACCGTGGACTAGAAGCTTCCCCATTTATTTGATTATCATCTTTATTTGTTGCATTTGAGTTCATTCCGTCATTCGTATTTCTATTAGTTAATTAATTTCCACCCAAACCCCCCTTTTATTAGTATTTTCATGATTTCAATTAAAGAAAATAATTACAACTAAATTCCACACTGTTAGGTGAAAGATTAGTATTTATTAGTATTTATTATAAGACATATATTCATATTGTGAACGATTTCATAAATTGTGAAAACTGTTTGTAAAAATATTTATGTAGATGATAGGTGGCTTTTTGTGGAACCTCAAGGGGTCAAAGGTGGTTTATTGCTCTGTTGGTCCCATAAAGTATCTATTTTGAAAACTTTCTCTTTTGATTTCTGTGTGATTATAAGTTTTTGTTTTGTGGGGGAAGTAGAGACTTTATGGGCAGTTTTTATTTATGCTAGTCCTAATAATTATATTAGGCAATCCCAATGGGATCTGCTTCTCCAAAATTCCAATCAATGGGGCAAATACTGGTTTTTAGCTGGGGATTTTAATGATATTCTTAGCAATGCAGATAAGAATGGTGGGGTGTTGAGAGGAGAGTCTAGTTTTGCTGTATTTAGAGATTTTGTAAGTAGACTGGGGGTGGTGGAGTGTAAGAGTAAGGGTCATCAGTTTACTTGGTCAAACCATAGACAGGGAGAAGAGTTCATTGAGGAGAAATTGGATAGGGTTATCATGTCCCCTGAATGGCTGTTTAAGTTCCCTAGCTCTGTTGTTTTTGATGGAATATTAGCGTGATTGATCAAGAATTACTGAACAAAAATGAAGAAGACCTGCAGCTATGAAGATAAAAACGTGTAGCAACTTTTTTGGTTTGAATAAAAATGTTTATGTGTCTTAGCTCGAGCGACGTCGTTTAGGGTCATTTTCTTAAGTGATAAAACGATGCCGTTCTATCTTGCATGTAAACAATAAATACCAAGCTCTCTTCATAATTCTGTACGTACGGAAAATATTGAGAAATGAAAATGGTAATTGTCCAGAAAGTTTTTGCGTTTTTCTTCGATTAAGAGGGAATTTCACATGGTACTAGAGCAGGCGAGCCTGTTTATCTCTTTCCGCATCTAGATCGAGTCGATTTCAGAGCAGATCCAACCTTTTGAGCTCAACTCACAACAATGGCGCCACGAGAAAGCACATCGAAATCAAAGCAGGATCCGTTCTCACTTCACGGTTCCGATAACCCTGGTATGTTGCTCGTAACAAATCTCCTTACTGGTAGCAATTTTTTGCCTTGGAAACGATCGATGATGATTGCCCTGGGAGCTAAAACCAAACTCGGATTTATAAATGGTGATATAAAAATGCCGGATGTTGATGATGACGATTATCCTGATTGGAAAAAGGTGGATTGGATGGTGTTATCCTGGATCATTAACTCGTTATCAAAAGACATCTCAGAATCATTTTTATACGCTGAAACTTCGAAGGAATTGTGGGACGACATATGTCAGCTCTTTGGTGAGAATAATGGACCTATGAAGTACAAAGTTCAGAGAGAAATTAACACTTTGACTCAAGGAAATAACACAGTCATGGAGTATTTCAATAAGATGAAGAAGTTGTGGGACGAATATGCATGTATAGCACCATTGCAAGTCTGTGACTGTGAAAAGGCAAAAAATGTGGTGCAGCAAGATGCAGAGACAAAATTAATTCAATTTTTGATGGGACTAAGTGATTTCTATGACAATGTTAGAAATCAAATCATGCTAATTGATCCTTTACCAACAGTAAATAAGGCTTACTCTATGGTCCTCACGGCTGAGAGGCAAAGGAATATTCAGACTGAGTATGGAGGCAGAATTGATAATGCAGCTATGGTTGCTAAGACAGGTTATGGGAGAGGAAATTCTTCTGGACAAGGCAGAACAGGAAATGAAGGAAAAGGATGGGATTCTGCTGGTAGAGGCAAAGGTTTTCAGAGACTAAGCAAAGAAGAGAAAGCAAGACTTGTATGTGAAAAATGTGGAATGAGAGGACACAACACAAGTACTTGTTTCAAAATCCATGGTGTACCAGACTGGTACAAGGAAATGAAAGGGCAACCAAGCAGGAATTATGCAAATGTAGCTGAGGTATCTCTTCATACCATTGGTCAAGGAAATGCTGGAGAGATCAGAGGTCAATTTGGTAGTCAAGACATGAGTGCAGTGATTCAGCAACTACAAGAGATAACTAAGTATATTAGAGGAAAGGAAGAGCCTGAGGGAAAGGTAGACTATGCTCAATTTGTAAGTTTTGCAGGCAAAGAAAACAAGAATAACATGCATTTTGCCTTATCAGCACTGAGCAATGAATGTCAAGAAGACTGGATAATAGATACAGGTGCAAGTAGGCATATCTGCAAAAATGAGGAGTGCATGAAGAATGTTAGCATACTCAAAACACCAGTGGTGGTATGTCTTCCAGATGGAACTCTGAAAAAGGTTCTATACAAAGGAGATGTGATACTAGATGAGAATATTACTCTACATGATGTGCTTTTAGTGCCTACCTTCAGATACAACTTGTTATCAGTAATGCAATTGTGTGACAACAGTTCCTTAAGATGGATATTTTCAGGGACAGAATGTTACTTAGAAGATCAAAAATCACATCACATCTATGGACGAGGGCAGTTGGCAGGGAGCTTGTATGTTTATAAAAGGACAAAGATGATGATTGAATGCAACCTATCACTTGTTGATTGGCACAGAATCTTGGGACATGCCTCCTTCTCCACCTTGAAACACTTGAGCTTTCTTCAAAAGGATTGCAATGAGCATAATAGAAGGTTGTTACACTCTTGTGACATTTGCTACAAGGCCAAACAACACAGACAACCCTTTAGTAGAAGCCAAATTCAAACTGAAAACTGCTTTGAGCTTATTCACATAGATTTATGGGGCCCATGTAGAGAAGAATCTATGACAGACACACCTTTCTTTCTAACAGTGGTGGATGACTATAGTAGGGGCACTTGGGTTTTTCTGTTAAAACACAAGTCACAGGCTGGGAAGTTGATAAAAGAATTCATCATCATGGCCAAAACTCAGTTTGAGATGCCAGTGAAAAGGGTTAGGTCTGATAATGGAAAGGAATTCTATGACAAAGAGCTGCATGAGTTCTTTAAGTCCAAAGGGATACTACATGAGACAAGCTGTGTCTACTCCCCACAACAGAATGGTGTAGTAGAGAGGAAGCATAGACACTTATTGGATGTTGGCAGATCTTTACTCTTCCATGCGAATTTACCTCTCAAATTTTGGCCTTTTGCAGTGCTCATAGCAGCCTACATAATAAATAGGGTACCAACTGCACTCCTCAACTGGGAAACACCTTATGAGAGAGTATACCATAAATCACCAGACTATGAGAAGATGAAGCCATTTGGGTGTCTGGCCTATGCTGCAAATGTGCTTCCTCACAAAGCCAAGTTTGATAGTAGAGGACACAAGTGCATATTCTTGGGTTATGTGGCTGGTAAGAAAGGGTTTCAACTCTACAATCTAGACACCAATGATTTGCTTGTGGCCAGTGATGTGGTATTCCTGGAAGATTCATTTCCCTTTCAACAACTGCTGCACAAAGAGGGCATTTCTCCACCTCCAGCTCCAATTTCAACAGAAGAGTCTAGTGATGATGATTCCTGTACTGATAATGATACTAGTGCAACTGCCACTGAACCTGTCCAGGAACCTCAAAGTGAGCCTGTCCAAGGGACTGAGAATACTCTTGTTAGACAAGCAAGGGTTAGAAAACCACCATCATGGCAGTCAGATTACATCTGCAATAATCTTGCAGCCTCTTCATCACAGACTACAAATACTTGCCAACACTTCTTAGCAACTGTTTCTCTTGACAAGGAACCAATTTATTATGGGCAGGCCAAAGCACACCCAGCATGGGTAGATGCTATGGATAAAGAACTCAAAGCCCTTGAACTTAATGGAACTTGGGAATTAACACAACTTCCTAAAGGCAAGAAAGCAATAGGCTCTAAGTGGGTTTACAAAATCAAGAGGAATAGTGATGGATCGGTTGAGCGGTTCAAAGCACGGTTGGTGGCAAAAGGATATAACCAACAGGAAGGTGTGGACTTCTTTGACATCTTCTCCCCAGTGGCAAAGCTTGTGACTGTGAGGATGTTTATAGCTATTGCTACAATGAATCAATGGGGTTTACACCAAGTTGATGTCAATAATGCTTTCCTACATGGAACCCTCAGTGAAGAAGTTTACATGGTGCCTCCCCAAGGGTATTTTAAGGCCAAACCTGGAGAAGTTTGCAAACTTAAGAAGAGCCTTTATGGCTTAAAACAAGCTTCTAGGGAGTGGAACAAAGAACTAACACAGAAACTCTCCACTTTTGGTCTTACTCAGTCACCCTATGATCACTGTCTATTTACCTTGCACAAAGGTGGCAGCTTTATGGCAATATTGATTTATGTGGATGATGTGTTGCTCACTAGCAATGATGACCAGATGGTAGCTGACCTAAAGGATTTTCTTGACAAGGAATTCACTATTAAAGATCTTGGGGCTGCAAAATATTTCTTGGGAGTTGAAATACTCAGAACTAATGAAGGAACTACTCTTTGTCAACGAAAGTATATACTTGATATGTTGGGGGACATGAATATGTTAGACTGTGCTGCAGTCAAAACTCCTTTGCCTTGTGGCCTCAAGTTGAAAAGTGAAGATGGCATGCCTTTGGAGCAGCCAGACCTATACAGGAGAGTCATTGGTCGGCTTCTTTACCTTAATCTCACCAGACCTGACATCACCTATGGAGTTCAGCAACTCAGCCAGTTTGTGAATGCACCTTATACCTCCCATTGGGCCGCTGCTATGCACATTCTTAAATACCTCAAAGGGACTTCTTCTCATGGCTTATTTTTTCCCACCGCAAGTGATTTCCATTTGTCTTCCTATAGTGATGCTGATTGGGCCTGTTGTAAAGATGCACGGCGCTCGGTTACAGGGTATTGTATCTTTCTTGGCAAATGTATGATTTCCTGGAAGACGAAGAAACAACAAACCGTCTCTCGTTCCTCAGCTGAAGCTGAATACCGCGCAATGAGCACCACCGTTTCTGAACTGCTTTGGGTTTCTTACATCTTATAGGAGTTTGGAGTTCATGTGCCTCGCCCCATTCCTTTATGGTGTGACAACAAAGCAGCCATTCACATCTCCGCTAACCCTGTTTTTCATGAACGCACCAAACATCTTGAGATTGATTGCCATTTCATAAGGGATAAATACAAAGATGGTTTTGTGGAGCCTCTCTATCTAGCTTCCAAGCTGCAGCTAGCTGACATTTTTACCAAGACTTTGCCAGCTTCTCAAGCACATTTGCTTTTGTCCAAGATGAGCCTGCATCAACCACGCTCATCTTGAAGGGGGGGTGATGGAATATTAGCGTGATTGATCAAGAGTTACTGAACAAAAATGAAGAAGACCTGCAGCTATGAAGATAAAAACGTGTAGCAACTTTTTTGGTTTGAATAAAAATGTTTATGTGTCTTAGCTCGAGCGACGTCGTTTAGGGTCATTTTCTTAAGTGATAAAACGATGCCGTTCTATCTTGCATGTTGTTGACATCCGAGTTCGAGAGCCGAACCGGAAGGACTCGGTTTGCTCGGAAAGTGCCGAACCGGACCGGATTATTTTTTAGCCCAGACGTCCCCACGAGTCCGTCTACCAGTCCGGCGTTTGAGACTCCGAAGTCCCGATGCCGACCTGAAGAGTGACGGTCTGGAAGAAAGATTCCCCAGGGTCGGAGGAACAAATAAAGACAATGTGCCGACCTGAAGTTCCAGAACGGGCTCCTGCAATGAAGGTGTCGAACTCGATAGTATTATAATAATGCCACTTGGAGGATAATCATTGGCTAACGGATGGGACGCCCTAGCCTGTTGACCTACTTCCCCTAGCCAAGACATAAAGCCTGTCAGCATTAAATGCCCGTCAGACAATGATGAGAAAAACCTCAAATCGCATTTAATTTTGTCAGGGAGGCGCCGGACTGCTCTGCAAGAAACACTGTACGACAAGACCGATGAACAGTGGATGAACAGTACCTGAACAGTGCCACATTTAAGACAACTATAAATAGCAGCCCACTTCATTTATTTTGGGTTGTTGAAAACCTCAACTGTAAAAGCTATCTCTCCCTACTTTCTCTCTCTAGAACTTGTGTGATTATTCTGTAACAATTCGTAAGGATATTGCAAGTGCCGACCTCGTTCGAGAGGCCGAACTCGCGATCTATCAATAAAACCGCAATTAAACCGTATTTCTTTCTCTTTTCCTTATTCTCTTTTCATTACTTGATCCTTTTAACCGTTGACCGGAAACGCCCATCAACACATGTAAACAATAAATACCAAGCTCTCTTCATAATTCTGTACGTACGGAAAATATTGAGAAATGAAAATGGTAATTGTCCAGAAAGTTTTTGCGTTTTTCTTCGATTAAGAGGGAATTTCACAGTTTTGCATATTCCTTTGCTCTCCTCTGATCACTGCATGCTGCTTTTTGATAATGAGGTGATGGATGACTTTGGGAAGAGGAGGTTTATGTTTGATAAAAGATGGGTAAATATGGAGGGATTTAAGGATTGTGTTCATAGGGCTTGGAGTTAAAGGGCTAATGGGAGAGGCATGTATGAATTTTAGAGAAAATTAAGGAAAGTGAAGTTTGGGTTGATAAACTGGGCCAAGGATCAGAGATCTAACTCAGCCATAATAATTCAAAAATGTAATGACAGATTGGAGTGGTTAAACTCACAAGACTCAGGGAGAGAATGGGAAGAGTGGCTGCATTGCAAAAAGGAGTTACACAGAGCCTATAAGGAGGAGGAATCTTATTGGAAGCAAAAATCTAGAGTAAGATGGCTTAAGGAGGGAGATAGAAATACCCGCTTTTTCCAAGCATGTGTGAAACAGAGAAGACAACTGAATAGTTTGGATAACTTAATCAAGTCAAATGGGGAAAGGTGTAATGGGAGAGGAGAATCTGTGGAGGAGGTGATGAAGTATTTTGAGAGTTTGTATCAGACTGAGTATACTGAGGCCAATACTGATATCCTTAGGGGTATACCTGTATTCATCACTCCAGATCTAAACCAGAAACTATGCAAACCTGTGGAAGAGAGTGAGGTGAAGCAAGCTCTGTTTGATGTGGACCCTGACAAGGCCCCAGGTTTGGATGGTTTTTCCCCTATTTTCTTTCAATCTTCTTGGTCTATNGTACAGGGCGAGAATGAGAGTTTGAAGGACTACATCGCCAGGTTCAATGACCGGGTCCAAAATATGGAGCGGTGCCACCCCGACGCCCTACTCATCACGGCCCAGGGCGGACTCAGACCGAAGACGCTGTTCAGGTGGTCCCTGTGCCAGAACAAGCCGACCACCTACCAAGAGTACCTCACCCGCGCCCAGGAATACATCATGGCGGAGGAATCATCATCCATCCCGACCTTCGACACCACACCGGCACCGGCACCAGCCAAGGCGAAAACAAAGGAGGAAAAATCAGGAAAGCCGAGCAAGTCCTTTGCTGAGATCCGAGCTCAGCGGAAACAGAGGGCCGAAGAGCTGAGAGAAAGCTATCAGGGCGTCTTCTCGGTGGGTGCCACGGCAATCTACGAGGAAATCAAGGCCAAGGGGTTATTACCAGACCCCAAGCCGATGTTCACCGACAAGGACAAAGTAGACAAGACCCGCTACTGCACCTACCACAAGGCGCACGGGCATAATACCGATCAGTGTCGGAACTTGATCTCGACACTTTTGAAGTTGATCGATGACCCCCAACTCCGGAAATTCACCCACTCTGGAGACAAGAGAAAGAAAGGGGGGCGTTTTGAGGAAAACCCCGACAGTGATGAGGATGCCGATGTAAATCCTCGGAGGAAGAAACCGCAGCAGGGCGGTCCTCATGAAATCATGACCTTCTGCCCCACCCACCAAGATGAGGCCGGCACCTCCAGGGGCAGAAAAAGAGACCGGTCCCCACGCACCGGGGCCGACCCAGCCAACTACCCATCCCGGCGCGTCAACACCAGCCGGGGCGAATCCCTCCTCTCTCGGAGACAAACTAAGGCCTACGCCCGACAGGCCTACCACGCCGGGCAAAGGGTGATGCATGCCCACAGCAGGCCGGCACCGGAGCCGACCCCAAACACCATCACTTTCAATGATGAAGACGCCTTCCTGTTCGACCATCCCCACTCCGACGCCCTGGTGATCACGGCGCCGATCATGGCGATTAAGATCCATCGCATCATGGTTGACACCGGGGCCTACGCCAGCATTCTTTACTACGAAACCTTCAAGAAGATGGGGATCGATAGGAAGGAGTTACAGCCCTGCCGGGAGCGAATCCAAGGTTTCAATGGCCAGACCATCGCCCCAGTCGGGCAGGTCACCCTACCGATCCGTTTCGGGGAAGGAGGGGAGCCCACGAAGACAATCTTAGAAACATTCAAAATCGTGGACTGCCCGAGCGAATACAACGCCATCCTGGGCAGGACGGCACTTTACAAGCTGAAGGCCGCCGTCTCCATCTTCCATTACTCACTCAAATTCCCAACTCCCGATGGGGAGGGGACCCACCGAGGGGACCAAAGGGAGGCGCGAGAATGCATCCTGACCATCCCGCGCACCGAAATAAACATGGCGAACCTACAGGAAGGCGCCGGGGTGGCAGACACCGAGTCGGCACACGACGGTGACGGGGGCAACCGC